TTGGGCATATCTATGTATTTCATTGGATTTATGCACACTATATGTGCACAATGGTAACTATTCAGTCAGGTGCAATTATTTTACACTGTTTCCTCTTTTTGTTTCCCTCATGTTACATCACTAATGAGAAGTGGTTTATCACAGCTCCTTAAAAAAAACAGCAGCCTTCCAAGAGTGCTATGCCTCTGAAAAAGCATACACAATCAAGGAAAGAATCAACCTAGAACCAAGAAGAAATTTCCTGACAGTGCGAACAATTAATCAGAGGAATGGCTTGCCCGGAGAACCTGTGGATACTCCATCATTGGAGATTTTTAAGAAGAGATTGGACAGCCATTTGTCTGAACTGGTATAGTGTCTCTTGCCTGAACAGGGGATTGGACTAGAAGACCTCCAAGGTCCATTCCAGCTCTATTATTATCTTTCCTATCAATCATCTCTGATTTATCACACACGTGTCCTCCACCCCTTATCTCAACTAAGGGGACTGAAATCCTTTAGGAAATTATTGTGTTGTTCATAAATATATTAACAGTATTTGCATGTATGTCTGCAAGGAATCCAGTCACAATTTGGTTCTAGGGTTCTGAAGATTCTTAGATAAAATATTCCTAGTGGTTCCAATCACAAATTTTCTAAAGCAGTCCCATTTCCCTCCCCACTTCTGTTCACCTGCTTTTCTTTCTGTGGCATCCAACTTATAAAAGTCCTTTAATAAGGAAAGTAGGGTTTTATCTTTACTCGTTTATTAGAAAGTATAAATGAATCCGTAGAAAGAGAATGAAAAAGAGAAGTAGCAGGATCAAAAATTCTAGAATTTAATTAGGGATCCTTTCTGAATGCCAAATCTCATTAAATGCCTCAGTTAGTCCTGATACCAACTTTAACTGGAGATTTATAAGAACATAAACATAATTGCATTGCATCAAACTAATATGCAAAGGCCAATGTATCTGCCCCAATATCAACCGGAAGTTTTAATGAACTAAGGAAATGGTCCGTGTCTTGCCATACACATCTAAAAAAGATCCACATACAGTTTGCTAACCAGTTCTTTTTACATACTTTATAATAAAACTAAACTGTTTACACAGTTTGTGCAAACTTGTCACAGGTTTTTTTAAGAGTTAGGGGTACCTAAACTTTCAGTAGTGTTACTATTATTACACATATGCTGCACTAAACCTGTAGAGATTTTGCTCAAGAGTGCTATAAATCTAAAAATCTACCAAGTCTAGCCACTTTTCTATGAAGTGGGCCAATCCACATATCAAGCAATTCTCTTTTCTGGTCCTATCATAATCAAGGTTATATTGTGTGCTATAATCACAGAATAGCAGCTCAGTGAAAAATATATCCATATGATTCAGGCAAGAAACTCAAATCACACTCCAAGAAAAACAAAAACAGGAATCATTAGCTCAAGATGTTTTCTTAGCAATGAAGACAACTTGTCTACTCCAACAATGGCAATGGGTCAAGTTTAAAGAATGTTTCTTACCATATTTCCTTGTATGATATTTAACTAAGGAGAACAGTCAATAGCATTGAAGAACTGTTCCACACATTTGCCCCATATCCCCCCAATAATGATGGAGCATGGAAAAATACAAGGTAATGCTGTTTGTGGTGTTTTATAAAAATCAGAAAAATTATGTTGTCCACAATGTGATACATTTTCTAAAACTATAAGATAATACAGAACTGATATTACAACTAATCCAGAACACATTACAGTTTCTAATAGGCAGATCACCTGTATGTTGGTATATGGCCTAAATAAAGTTAATTTGCAGAAAATCCAATACAAATTCAGTCTGGCTATTCATCTTCTTCAGTTACTAATATTGACTCAACTTTAATATAGAATAGGTTATGCGTTAGGGATAAAGTTCTAAAGTAACTTCCTGACTTATGTTTCTTTGAAGGATTATATATAATTAAGTAATTCTTTTCTATTTTTTTATTTACGTGTTAAATAATGAAAACAAGTCTCTTTCTCTCACTTCCTAATATAGTAAACGTTCCATTTTCCAAGGTGATTTTTTTTTTAAAAAAGTTTTATTTATTATTCAAGAAGCAAGCAGAGATCATACTAAGGGGAAAAGCATAACTGAAGTATCTATTCTTATCTTTTCTATATGCCCCCCCTTTTTTTCGTCATCATCCTTACAATGTTTTCCATTTAATGGTTACATACAATGAACAAATGTTTCCTGGATACTTTTTATAAATTATGCCAATATATTTTTCTTCTCCTTGAATATGAAAGTCCACAATATAGAAAAAATAATATAATATAATAATGTTTCTCCTTAATGTGTGTCTGCTGTTATGAAAGATTGAATATTTATATTGCTTTTAGCAAAGAGTTCTAGCCAAAGACATTTTGAAACTCCAGTTGACCCTTATGTTTAGAATTCATGAGCGATGGGAAGCAAAAACATAATTTCACACTCAATTTGTCAACTTCCTTTGGTAGCTAGATGGATGGAGTATAATTCTGAAATGCACTCAGCCATTGTAATACACGTAAGTAAGGAAAGAGTTCCGTTTTTATATGTGGTCCGTTCTACATATTTAACACAAAACCTGAAGTATACAACGCAAAGTTTTTCTCTCTTGCTTTCATGATGGACCTGCATACTCTTAGATGTTCACCCTATATTTTATCCAATGGCCTTCTCACAGATTCTCACTAAAGATAATACCAAGCAAAGTATGGTTCAAAAGTGGCCAGAGGAAATACATATGTTTAATAAACTTAATGACATGACCCCATCAGATCCTGGTTTGGAGGAAAAGGAGGCATTGGAACTGGGACCATCCAACAAGGATGGTGCATCTCCCTTGGAATGTTTGGACAGACCAGGGGCTGAGGATGATGCTGCCCACCGGCCCCTCAGAAATTGGGGGAGGTAGTCAACTGGACCTACCCGCAGAGGCACAGGGAAGGATCGGCTGCAGAAGGCAATGGTATTGAGAGGCAGAAGATGCCCTCTGATGAGGAACAGCTGCCTTCCCCAATCCGAGGGCAGCTAGAGTAGAGAGGAGGCAAGCTCAAAGGAGATCTGTGAGGCTGCTTGGGAGAAGGACGCCCCACCCCTCCTCACAAGGAACACTTGCCTTGGGGTGACAAGCAGAGGCCAGGAGAGATTGTCTTTGTCAGGAACAATTGTTTGCTTTGGCATGCACTCCCCTGGCTTTGGTGGAGGAAAAATAACTCAGCCTTGACTTATGTTTCCGTGGACTTGTCTTGCCCTCTGGACTTTTACTCTGGACCTTGCCCAGTGAGCTTGTACCTTGTCTTTGGGTTTGTTGCTTACTGGCTTTTGTTGTGGGACTGTGGGTGGCTACCTTCATGGAAGTGTGGGGTGGAGGTGTGGGATGAAGCCTTACTCGTTGTTGTGTGCTCTAGAGCCATTCGTTGTGGAAGTCAACAGAGCAATAAAGGACTCAAATCAAATCAGAACAAAAAAATCAAATCGTAACAAAGTGCTATTTGTTTATAATTCCTTCACCCCACCCCCCAAATATACACCCATTTTTAATACCCAATTAATGACTTTAAGGAGAACTTTCAATCCATAATAGAGCCCAAAATCTCACTCCAGGCCTGCCAGATACAACTGCAATGGAATCTAGAAAAATGTGCCAAAATCTTTTAACCACAGCAGAACAAGGCAGTTTGTTTTCACTTGAAGATTGCACTGGAGGGTAGAAAAGTGACATTTGAGGGTGCTAAAAACCAAATTCATCTTTTATTCACACCCGTTTCTAAGTCAGTCGAACAGTTTATACGGATAAGGTCTATGGAAACAACGAATCAGTGAAGAGAGATGAAGAGCCAAGGTATGAGGGTGGGAGGCAGTGATATGAAAACCACAGAACCTTGAAGTTTATTTCAACAATCATAAGCAAAAAGAATTCAGACAATGGATACAAAATCCCTCTAGGAAGAAACTGGGAGATTGAAGAAATGATACATTTCTACCTCTGAGTATTATCTGGCTAGGAAAAAGCAGAAAACCCCCCAGAAGATATAAGTCTCTCAGGGACTGCAACACAACATGGTCTTTGCCAAGACAACATACTTCTTTCCCACAAATCAAGGGCTACCAATTACCCAGCCAAAAGGTTGATGGCTGACTAAGGTAAATCAATCATTCCACCAGGGGGATATTAATTCAGTCTAACATCCACCACAGAGGAGGCCCAATCCCAGGTGAATAACTACCCTTTTCCTTATTTTTCTTGACTTTTTTCAAAGCAACCATTTCGAGAATGCAGAGACACATCTCTGACCCCAAACTTGTCTACAATTCTACCTCTTTGAAATTCAAAGCAACTTTCCAGGCAAGAAAAAGGCAATTCACAGCTTGTTACCTAAAACCATCTATGTTTAAACAGCTGGTATGGTCAACATCTTGTTACATACAAAGATACTGCACATCTATCAGGAACAATTAGGACTTACTTCCTACCCAAATGCCCAAGAATTCTTTTTACATACTCTCAATTGCCAAAAAGGCCAGTAAGAAGGAAAGGGTGGAATAGCTGATTATTGGTGATGTAACTTTGGAGGAAGGAACTGTTCTTCTGGAACCTTTCTAAAATCATTACACCCAAGACAAAAGCAGTGTGTGAGGATTTTGTTGTTTGCTCCCTTTAGTTGCCAGCCTGCCATCAACTATTATATAAGCTAGAACAGTTTCAGCAAAGGGTTAAAACAATGCAAAGAAGTGCTGCAAGGACCAGGGCTTGGGGGGGGGGGAGGCAGGTAACCTGCAAGAGGAGGGAATAACATGCTACAAAATTCAACTCCTTTTTGGTAGCAGAGATGGAAAGCAAGGATAGGAAAACCAAATCCCGAGAGAGAAAAATAGGAAGGCCAGTGGAACATAGTAATTTTGCAAAGTGAAAAAAAAGTCATCTGAGCATCTGGGGGGGATTTTTTAAAATTTCTTTTACTCCAAAGCTCCAGAAGTAAATCAACTTACCAGGGTCGAAGTGCGAACTGAAGGCAAAGCTGGGGTTGAAAAATGAAGCCGACATGACAATAGCCAAGAGATTTGCCACCATTCCCATGGCAAAAGCAGAAAAGTGGGAAGGGGGGTTTGTGGGAAGTACGAAGACGAGAGAACGAAAAGTAGATTTTAAGAAAAAAAAACAAATAAATAAATAAATAGCAAAGG